TTTTTTTTTTTTTGTGTTTGATTTCACTCTTTAGTGGTAATATTGTGAGTTCTAGTAAAAAGGGTAAGATTCATGAAGAATCAGTGAGGGCACACTAAGATTCTATACGAAGTGGGGAATGGCTATATACATTTTATTTTTGTATTCCGATCTCAAAGAGTTAGGTAGAAGATTTTGTGATCCATTATATTTTGCTGATAATATTTTCCGTGATTTGGATATAGGCTATGTTTGGTTGTTGGCGTTTCCGCTAACGTTTAGCTTTTTTGTGCCTTTTAGCTGTTTTGAAAGTTTGACCAGCTAAAAATATTGTTTGGGTAAAGAGCTGGCGTTTTTGTCTGAAACGCCAATTTTAGATACGTTGTTTGGAGCAGCGTTTGGGTTTAGCGGATTTCAAATTCATTTCTTTAATTATGTGAAAAGTATACATTTTTTGGGGCGTTTGTATGATGTAGCAGTGAATATTCACATCCCACATACAATTGCTTTTTTTACTTTATTTTATTATTTGTTTTAAGAATTAGGTCCCTTAAATCTATAATGATTGAATAAGTATTTTTAGATTCTATTTTTTATCGGTAATTATTATTATTATTATTATTATTATTATTATTATTATTATTATTATTTTGTTCTTAATGGGTTGACATGCTTAAAGACTATTGACATTGTGTATTCTTATGTAAAACATTTTATTTTTCTGTATAATAAAATAAGCGAATGTATGCTATTATATATTAAAAAAGTTATGTTATAATTATCTCTCTATTTATATATATTAAATAAATGATTATTATTATTATTATTATTATTATTATTATTATTATTTGAGTAATTATATATTTACTCACATTAGTTATTTTATTTAACTTATTAACATAAATCAACTAATTTTACCAAATGCGTTAGCAAAATCAGCTAATCTAATCCGCGGAACATCTAATTGTATCAGCTGGTCAAAACAACTGATATGATCCGCTAATAGCTAACCGCTGATTGCCAAACAAGGCCATAATATTTTTATGTTCGGCTGTTGGATGAAGAGATTTTGCGCGTACTTAAACTAACTGGACATGTGTGTGATTGTGAATTTGATTCTTCTTCAATCGATCAGATAATTGCTTTATAATTGTTTTTTTTTTTTGGCAGATGATTGAAATTTAGATGCTTTATGAAATTACGAAAATTTTGCGTGGGGGCGACCTAATCGTTAGGCGCGTTGTCCAATCATACTTTGTTAACAAATATGAATACTTATGCTACCAAACGTTCTTTTTATGTTTATGCTATTTTTAAAGTATGCCATTTTTCACTTGATCTTTGTTTTGTTTCAGAACACTAGTGTTCATGCTAACATGTGGATTACAAATTGATGACAACGTTAATTTAATGACAAGCAGGCTGGGGAGGAACGGTTCTCCATCACAATGGACGAAAAGAAGGACGTTTGGTATGAAGTGCTTTCATTTTCAAAGCCGGCCAATATTTTGTCGCATGTTGGATTACCATACGTACTAATGAGGCAGAAGCATTTTGCTCGAGATTCCACATTAGCGATGCAGAAGCATTTATCCACCAAGTTAGACAGTGTAAGAAGTGATCCATAGATTTATATTTGTGTTAATATTATTAAATGGCCATAAAAATTTATAAAACACAAATTTTGGCCACTTTTTGTAAAAAATATCTTTTTTAGCCATTTTGGCATGTGTTTTTACTACATTACCCCTAACTCAATTTTATCTTTACACAATCAGAGAATGTTTTTAGCCATTTTGAAATGCACCACAAATTTTAGCCATGTTTTTGGCAAAAACATCTTTTTTACTCATTTTGGCACCTAAAAAGACAAAAATAACCTTACTATTTATTTTTCTAAAAAAAAATCATAAATGTTCTAAAAAAAAATTCCTCTCTTCTAGTCTATTTTTTATTATCTCTCTCTCCTCTCTCTTCCCTCATTCAATTTCATTCTCTCCATTTCATTAATTATTTTTTCATTCACTCCATATTCTCAAAATTCCAGTTTTGATGAAACTATGGTGTTATCTCGGAAATGTTAGTCTAAAAGGTATGTTTATAATTTTTTTAAAATGGTCAATTTCGTACGCCCAGTTTTTTTAAAAATTTTGAAAACCAATTTGAAAGAAAACACAATATTCAAATGCATCACATAAATATTGCCAAAAGAAAAAAAAATAATTCCCATAAATTGATTTATGGGCTTCAGAAACGATGTCTAGGAGCAGAAATAATTTCTGGATCCGGAGATCATTGAGTGATTTCTATGAATGACTTCTTGATCCAAAATCACTTCTTGATCTAAACATCATTTCTGGACCAGAAATTGCTATCCCAAAAATGATTTTTGGATCCAAAAAACCAGAAGATCTAGAAATCATTTCTGTTATCCATCCACACAGAATTAGGCGTTTTTTTTTTTTGTTTGAAAGAAAAACTTACACCGGGGTTTTTGTGTCAAGAAGATCCCCAACGGATTGCAGTACCATGATAGCTCACTGTACATTCATGATCATTGGGATGAAGCACTTTCCACTGAACCTCCAACAATCATTGAAACATAAATATTAAGATTTAACACGAGCCATTCATGAGAATACAAATAAATTAAGCAAACAATACTATCAATGGAATGATGAATTACAAATAGAGTGGAATCCTGAATGTTGATGTTGAAAAAGATATTCCCTGCTTCAATTTGACAGGATTGATATGCTACAATAATTATAAATTTAATTAATTTCTTGAAGTAGTAGAGTCCAGTATTGAGATTGAATTCTAAGATCAATTTCTTACACGAATTGGAAGCATTTTCCTAGCTTGACGTGTCAAAATAATCTACTTCCTGAAACCAAGCAGGTATCAGCCCGACGTCCAACCTAACATAAAAATAAATAAAAGAAAAATATTCATAGGTAAGAGAATCTCACTTAGAGAACTGATAAGTTCACATATATAATTTAAACTAGGAAACTAAAACAATCAATATGCTACTTACAAGGGACGGTTTTTGTTCTTTTTCAATTATTTCTCTATTTACTGTAATCATCCATTGATCTAGTCTCTATCTTTCTCCATATAGTTGATAAAGGGTGAGATAAGCATGCGATTTATGAACTTTACACGCATGTTTCGACCACCCTTTGCAATGGGGTCAACCTCAACATCATCAACCGGGACTCTGGATCCAGTTGTGGGCTCTGGAGTCTTATTAGTTACAATGCTCTCAATCTCATCTCCAACATCCTCAAACACAACAGCCTCATTCTCATCTCCAACATCTTCAATCTGGGAAACTTTTTGAACAGTCTGAGAATTAAGATTTCTAACAATTTTTTTAAAGTTTTTATACAATAAAAATATTAAAAACTTACAAATTAAGTTTTAAAGATGTAAATATGTAGACATTTTTTTTTTAATAACAAAATAAGGGTGCATCGCAGATATTACAAACTTACAAAATTAGATGTTTTGTTGGTATGGTCTCTTTTTTGCCTCCATCCTTCATGCTCCCCAAATCTTCCTTCATGGTCCCCAAGTCTTCAGATCTGGGACGGGGTGCATGTAGACAATATTTTTTTTTTTTTGATAACAAAATAAGGGTGTGTTGTAGATATTACAAACTTACAAAATTAGATGTTTTGTTGGTATGGTCTCTTTCTTGCCTCCATCCTTCATGGTCCCCAAATCATCCTTCATGGTCCCAAATTCTCAGATTCGGGATGGGGCACACTTTAAAAGATTAGATAATCATCTAATCGTTTAATCACCTCGGTAACCGCCGCATCAACAAACCTAGGGAACTACCGAGCAAAAGCCTCCTCAATTTTTTTCGAGACAACCTCTTCGTTCTTCGCCTCGTCAACTCTGGTAGACGATCCAGTTGCTCTTCCAGATGCAACTGGATGTTGTCTCTCTGGCTGAACATGCGCTCTTCTTTTTGGTGGTGGGAGATGTTCATTTCTTCACAAATATCCTCGTAACAGAATGTGCCTTCTTTGAGGGTCGGCACATTATCTTCAACCCCATCCATGCATTTTGGCCGAAAACCTTTTCACTGACAATGCTTGACAGCTGCTCACCTACGCTTCACGGTGAATGTATTGAACATTCGATAATAAATCTGTGTCGATGTTCACCATATTAGAGGCGTTCCTCTCCTCAGACGTGAACACCATAGGTGAATATGGAATCTAGCACAAAAAAATTAAACATATAAGAAACAATCAATCTTCAAATCTAGCTAGAAAACAATGTTTCCAAATGAAACATGTATATTAACTACAAATTGATTTATAATGCAACCAATAATTACCTCAACAGTGTCGAGTCACGATTGAATGACACCTTTACAGATGTCTATCGGGCGCCCCTAGGAAGGTCGTTACTCATCCATGACATTTCAGAATCCTTTAAAATTTCAGGAAATAGTTCACAAGACTAGATCTGTGTAAAAGATATAAAATAAACAAAGTTAATAATGAAATCGCATAATTACAATAATATGAAATAATATAAAAAAATTACATATACCTGAAGTGACATGAGATACCCGTAGATATTAAACTGCATCTCGCCTCCACCAGTCGGCTGGTTTAGTACCATCTTCAAGATAGTGGTGAAGACGCTGAAAAGCGTATGAACCCTAGGGAAATCTCTGGAATTTCGATGTGTCTTCAACCAATGTCCACAACAACATTGGCACCGACATCCTCGAGTGTGGGGACAGAGTAAAGAAGAAGACTACCAGTACAAAAGCCACTTTAAGTGCCTCATCCTTCTTAAATCCTGGAGAAGCATCACCCTCCTCAAATTTTACTTGAACAAACTTGCACATCAGATCCTTTTCGAGCACAGTCTTACAGTTGAAATATCGATGGGAAACTTCATTAGTCGGTGGGAGGCACTCATTGGTTTCCGGTCAAAGTCGGACTTGTCGATCTTAACCCAGTGATCACGCAAAACTCTTCCTTTCCAAACTTATGATTGCGGCCACCAATCCGATAATAACGCTCCTTTTCGCGAGGGTTGTCGACCTCTGCCTCTCTCCCAAACACTGCCAAAAGTAATTTGCCACTGTGATAAGCATTGTCGTGGAACTTCAAAAGGTGACCAAAACAAGAGCGCTCAAACTCTGCCAGACGTTGCAAAATAACATTTCTTTGATATGACGAATGAGCTAAGGCTTCGTATGACAGTTCACTTTACCGCTCCAATTACAAGGGCTACCCCACCTCCACTTCCAATTATTACCATGTAATATAATGTTCATGATAATGTAATAATTGGAAATGGAGGTTGAATAGCGCTTGTAATTAGAGAGGTAAAGTGAGCAGCCATACAAAGCCTCAGCTCATTCGCCATATCAAAGAAAGGTTATTTTGCAATCGTCAGATGGAGTTTGAGCGCTCTTGTTTTGGTCACCTTTTGAAGTTCCACGACAATGATCATCATAATGGCAAATTACTTTTTGCACTGTTTGGGAGAGAGGTAGAGGTTGAAAACCCTCGGGAAAAAGAGAGTTATTATCAGATTGATGACCACAATCATAAGTTTGGAAAAGAAGAGTTTTGCATGATGACTGGGTTAAGATTCTACAATTTTGACTTTGACCCGGATCCCAATGAGTGCCTCCCACCGGCTAATGGAATTTACTGTCGATATTTCGGCGGTAAGACTGTGCTCGTAAAGGATCTGATGTGCAAGATTGTTCAAGTATAATTTGAAGAGGATGATGCTTTTCAAGGATTTAAGGATGATGAGGCTCTTAAAGTGACTTTCATACTGGTAGTCTTCTTCTTCACCCTGTCCCCGGACTCCAGGATGTCAGTGCCGCTGTGGCTGTGGACGTTGGTTGATAACACAGTGGAAGTCGAGAGATTTCCTTGGGGTTCGTACGCTTTTCAGCGTCTTCACCACTATCTTGAAAAAGAGATTAAATCGCAAACTGGTGGGGGCGGGGTGCAGTTTAGTGTCTGCGGGTATCTCATGCCACTTCACGTAAATGTTAATTTTTTTATCATTATTTCATATTATTGTAATGATGTGATTTCATTATTAGCTTTGTTTATTTTATATCTTCTACACAGATCTGGGCTTGTGAACTATTTCCTATAATTTTAAAGATGGGTGACGACCATTATAGGGGCGCCCGATGGACATCTGTAAATGTCATTCAATCGTGTCAATGAACTCGTAATGCTGAGGTAATTTGGTTTCTTTATAAATCAATTTGTTATTAAGCTACATGTTTTAATTTGGAAACATTGCCTTCTAGCTAGATTTGAAGATTGATTGTGTCTTATATTTTTTTTGTGCTAGATTCCATATTCACCTATGGTGTTTACGGCTGAGCATAGGAACGCCTCTTATATGGCGAACATCAACATGGATTTATCATCAAATGTTCAATACATTCACCGTGATGCGTGGGTGAGCAGCTGTCAAGCATTGTCAGTGAAAATGTTTTCGGCCAAAATGCGTGGACGAGGGTTGAAGAGATGCGTCGACCCTCAAAGAAGGCACATTCTGTTGAGGATATTTATGTAGAAGACGAACATCTCCCACCACAAAAAAGAAGAGCGCA